TCAAACATTCTTGTGGTCTGAAACCGCCATTAACTTGATTAAATTTATACTTTAAATTAAATTTGATAAAGTTCAGACCCTTAACACACATGTGCTTTTCACGGCGTCCTAAAAGAAACTGAAAAGTGACGCTATCTGGACGACCGGGTCCAGATTTTTACCGCGCACGATTTTCATTGGGCGTTTACTAAATGTTTTCATTTCCAAGAATTGTTAAGAATCACTTGCATCTGCCTCTCCTAATTTCCAAGGATAATGGATTATTTGTACGGTAAAAATGTATTGCCTCATATTTCTAAGATGAAGAACGTATGGGACGGATGCATTATTTTTTGTATTGTTGTATTATATAAACTAAATAAATACACAAAATTTACATTTTTATTAGGTGCCTTTCTGGCAACATGGAGTGAAAATAAAGTTAATAAAATTTTACATCAATATATGCATCAGTTTGTATAATTTATTATCATACCGTTATTAGCAACCTATTGTTTATACATTAAATTTGTTGCCTTTATTGTATTCCCAATTTTACGGTACCCGTTATTTTACTAACCTCAATTATAGGCAGATGAACAAATTATCTGTGCTCTTAGCTAAGAGGGTTAAAATTAGCATATTTGTTTCCTTGAATAGTTATTGTTTGAACTCATCTCTTATGTAGATGATTGTTACATTGTTATGACTTGATTTATACAGATCATTTTAAAACTTATCTTAGAAAAAACATACAGTTAATGCTCTGTTTCAGAAATAATCGTATTGGTAGATCAATTAAGTAATATTTATCATCATCAATTTAATTTGAATTTATCTCAAAAATGGAAGACTAAAATATTTGAAAATAAATTCAGATTATTTTTTTTTTATTTATTGGACTCCATTTTTCAATTTTATTGCATTTATCACCATATTGTGATAAATGCCTTTAATTCCAGCGAAAGCGCGATAACTCTTGTAGCCTTATTCCCGAATTTCAAGCTTTTGTAAGACCATGAATATTATATACATTGAGTAAATTGAATTAAGCTCTCAGCGATACTGATTTTGATCACTCTGGAAAAAGAGCGTGGAAGCAGACAGACATTTTTAAAAACTTTTTTTTAAAAAGATTTCTTGTTATGTATACCTGGTATGTAAAAGATTATTTTTGGTTTCGAAAAACGGATTAGTTGAAAAAAACTGTTTTTACACTAGTTGTTTTTTAGCAAGTGCCTGCGATAAAAGATGGGTTTCTTATCATAGAAGGTGTTTCTATTTTTCGAACTCTACAGCTGTTCTAAAAGATGCTTTGGTAAGAAAAGTTGTAAATGCTCTTTCTCAATTTCAAATTTGTGATATAATGTACCTTCAAAGTTGCTTGATACATGTACTTCCTGCTATTTTGACTTTTGAGAAGAAAGTATATAAGAAACATCAAAAATGCCATTTGTTACGAACACGAGCATATAAAATTTTCTAGAGTAAACCAAACCCTGATTGATCTAAAAAAAAAATTAACTGTATATATGGATAGTAAAATCGAGGAATATATGTGTGCAACTCCAAAGTACGATTGGACTCCAAAGTCCGATTGTCACGCCAAAGTCCGAAAATTTTCGCCCAACCATGTTGGTTTGACACGCCCAAGTCCGATGGCGCAGAAAACAAGAAACGTTGATGAGGTCATTGTACTACTTCGCAAAAAATAAAAACATAATAGCATAAATATAGACACTTACCCTCGTCTTTTTGTAAGTGCGAAACTTAAATCTATCAGGCAAATAATGAGTATTAACTCTAACCTAAATATCTTGAGTGGGTGCAGGACTAATCTAAATCAGTCCAATAGCGTGCGAGGACTAACCCTATAATCTCTCGAGGGGTTCGAAGAAAACATTAGTCTTCAAGAACTAGCCTTTATCACTCGAATGGTGTACGAGAACTAACCCTAATTCCTCTGGTGGGTGAAAACAAAAAGCAATATCAGTAAAAATGTATGTGAGACGAATACTGAGTCAATGGATTTTGAATGTAGAATATAGTCATTATGTCGGATTATTGTATTCATATTCTGAAATGATATACAAGGAGACATTATATGGTACTCGATCTCAAAAATTTATTAACCAATACAATCATGGAACTCTGAAACATCAGGGATGGGATCAGGTGGCATAGAGGAGTAATCATCACTTGCTAATCAGTTACATCCGGTGTGTGCACGCTTGTCATCATCGCAAAATAATGGAAAAATAGTCAACAATTTAGTGTCTAATTCTTTATTCAACAGAAAATATTTGGATGAGCCGGTAGTGAGATTCCTATTGTACACTTGCATTTTTTTAAATTATGTATTATTTTTTGTTACAGTTGGATATTTGTTTGATTATTTCAAATTCATTTTTTTTAAAGATCATTTGCCATAATCTGGGCGCTGATCTTCTTGAGCTTCAAAACTACTTAGAAGAAAAGTGGATCGATATTCAGTCCCGATTAAGAGGTTCATGTAAATTGTATATTAAAAAATATGATTATTTCTAACATCTTCACAATAATGAAATCATGCTATGTTTTTTTCTTCATAGGTTATCATTTTGGCGTATGGCTTGGTGTAAGCGATATTCAACATGAAGGGGACTTTGTGTCTATTTAGAATGCAAGAAGAATTTATTATATTAACTGGATGAAAAATGAACAGAACAACTCTGGAGGAAATGAGAATTGTACGATGTACTGGGTCAACCGTAGAGGCTGGAACGACACGCCTTGTACTTCAAAAATGAATTATGTTTGCATGAAATTAAAGTAATAAAAATTTATGAAATATTATTTTGTTTCCATTGCCTTTTTCTGAAATTAGTTTTAAGGTCATGTTGTTTATTGATCGCTTGTTCTTTGAAGATAAAAAGAAAGTTTTTAATGACAATTCTTAAAATATATTATACAGGAAAGGGAAACTGTTATTCGTATAAGCTAACTTGCTTAAATGACCGCTTGTCTTTCATTGACATAGTTTAAACGATTGCGTTTTGTAGAATGCTTTTGCATGTATTTGAAATTGTTTTAAAGATGATGTGGCATGAAAACCTACGATTGGCCTATTTTTCTGAATTAAGATGTGTTAAACATATTTGAAGCAAACTGAAATACATCGTACCTATTTTCTTTTATTTTTCTTGAAAACACAACTTTCTTCACATCTGAATTATATTTTAATTATTATTAGCCAAGTATAGTTTTTGGTTCCGGTATTACTTACCTACATTTGATTTTTTTTATTAAAGCTAAAGCTTAAAACTGATATCAAGTCAATTTCAACCGCCGACCTTCTATATGAATATTATAAATCCTGTGCACAATCAGGCTATCAATTCCAAAACTTTCGTAAAAATAACTATAAACTTTTTAAAAATTGATTGGTTTCATCCACATCACTAAATCCAAAATACACGAAAAAGATGCTTTATGAGAAGTCCGTTAGGCAAGTTGGAGTGATAAAAAAGTTCTTGCATATTAAATATATTGAACATTAAGCTATGTATTAGTTCATGTCCTTTTTATCACTTAATGTCAAACGCTACAAGCAACCTATTGTTTATACAGTTAATCTCTTGCACCTGTGTACCCTAATTTGTTGCTACAGCATTCCCTTCATTTAACAAACCTCAATTATAGTCAACTATAGGCAGATGAGAAATTTCTTTGTGCATTCTCTTAATTAACTCACGGTTTTTATCATAATTTGTATTAATAGGGCTCATCTTATTTATAGACATATACAAAAATTAAAAGAACAAAAACAAAAAACAAATTAATTATGTAAAGTATTTATTGTTTTAAGGTTTTTTGTAAGATTTCTGGTAGATTTCCTTCAATACAGCAGCTGTATGATTTTATGGATGTAAAAAGTAGTTCCGGGTGTGGTTGTCAAGGGGGCGTGTACCCATGCCAAGTTATTTTATCCAAAATATTATATGTTCCTCTGAATGATTCAGCCAATGAAATTGCTTCGTACAAGTGAGATTAAATTATTATACCCCCCGCTTGAAAAGCGGGAGGGTATATAGTGATTGGGATTTCCGTCCGTCCGTCCGTCCGTCCGTCTGTACGTCCGTCCGTCCGTCCGTCCGTCCGTCTGTTACGCTTTTTCTCTTATCCGCAACTCCTCTTATACTACTGAGTGAAATTTAATGAAACTTTCACAGAATCTTTATTACATATTGCCATTGTGCACCTCCTATTTCACTTTTTTATTTGACACGTATTTTAGGTTTCCCAGAGCAAAACATGGACATTGCCATTTTTTGTTTACCTATGACGTCACATAATAGAAGCTTCTGGATAACATTTCATTGGACGAGTTATTCCTCTTTACACATTACCGTAAAACAATATAAAGCAACAAATCGACATTATGGGAGGCGGGGGGTATCATTTAGTGAGCTCATTGCTCACAGTACCTCTAGTTATCAAATGTTTCAACTTGTTTTCGCGAGACAGAATTCTTCATTATTTTTTTCATGGTAATATAGTTGCACACTACTTGAAATCTTTTATATCTATCTTCTAAATTTTCTATTAACTACTTGAAATCTTTTAACAAGGCCCAGGGACCACATCACTCTCCTGAGCAACTGGCTAGGAAAAAGCAAAAAATTAGTTCAGTATTGAAAAGCTTTTATATATCATTAAAATGGGTTCTGGGGAGGGGAGGCTGTATTTGAACAAACTTTAATCTTCTCTTCCTTGGAATGTTTTTGGACACATTATGGTTTTGCTGTTTATAAGATGAAATTTTTTATTGATATAGCCTGTGTCTTCATTTGTCCACTTTATGACTCCTTTTTGAATTTGCAAAATCATGAAATCATACAATTAGAATAGAAGAGGGGTTTTAAGATTTCGAATAAAGTAAATAACAAGAACTTAATGTGTAATTTACCTATAGTACCCATTATGCCACATGACCGTGAAATTGGGTTGAATCTTATAAATAAGAAGAAAAAAATGCAGAGTTCACAAATAATGATTTTTTATTTTCATTTTGTGCATACATAATTATACTTGTCAAAACATTGAGCATCATTCATTCCTTTATGAGAAACCGCGTATGTAGCACAGTTTTCTCCCTCAGTTCCAGTATTATCTGGTTGTCCCTTGATCCAATGACTGTAATGAAGTTCCTCAGCCTTCGAAACAGATATAAACTTTCCTTCTTGTTGAGAATCACTTGCACCAAGCCAAATCTGATCCGAGAGGCCTATAAGATGACGTTAAAACCTTACTCAATGTTCATAACTATTAATATTTTTTTTAAGTTTCGATTAAAAAAAAATAGATCATATAATATACAATTAAAGTATAAGAGTTTTGGGAGTTAACAAGATTCCAGTTCTCCAAGGCCAGGACTATTTCCCGAGATATAGCCGAGTGAAATGGACCTGTTCGAAAGGAACTGGAATCTTGCTAACTCCCTCAATAATATACTTTTTATCTGTTTCATTATACCGATACAAAAGTAAAAACAACTAAGAAACTTATTGTTCACAGAACAATAAGAGGTCTTTCGACTTTCTTTTAATTTCAAATTTTTATATCTGACTCTTTAAAATTAATTTCCATGAAAAAGAAACCAGATTTGTCTTAAAGCATAGAAAAAATGAAAATTAAAAAAATGGAATGACCTTGACCTTTGACCTAGAGAAAATATTCAAGGTCAAAGGTCAAGGGTCATAATGCAATTGACCCCATGCTTCTATGACTAATAGTTTTCAAGTTATAAGGTCTAATAGTAAGTACACAGAAGGTAAAGGGCAGTAACTCACATAAAGGTCATCAGATCCTTTTGCACTCATACAGTAAAATTAGGCCTAAAGTCCTTTAAGACATTAGTGAAGGTTTGGTGTCTCTACGGTCTACAGTTTTGGAGGAGTAGCGATAACAAGGTTTTTCACATAAGGGTATATAACTTTTAAAAGGGTTAATCTCAGAGGACAAGAATGAAATCTTTGAAATAGTTTTAAGAGTGCATTTTAATGAGACACAGACAGATAACATAAGTTGAAAGAGACTTAAATAGCTTTATTTCTCAATTTGGAATGACCTTGACCTTTGTCTTTTACATAAATTTTAAGGTCAAAGATCAATGAATCTTATGCAGTTGGCCCCATGTCTCTACGACTCGTTTTTAAAATTCTTAATTAAGGTCTTTCGTTGGAACTTCTACTGATTCTGATGATTAAGATTATTCTTATTATTCTTTTTTTTTTTGTTTTCTTCCTAGACGCCAAATTTGACGCTTCATATCTTCCTCATTCCTGAACGGATTTTGTTCAAATTTTCAGGGCTTTTAGATTTTTCAAAACCCTTTTAGAATACTGTTTCCAAATTCGGAAATTACCTTCTATTAAGGAGTTATTGCCCTTTGATTAAATTTTTCATACCTCCAATTTCCAGACAAAGGCTCAGAAAAGGTAATAATTGGAGCACAAAACCCTTTGAAATTGAGGAGAGGAAGTATTGAAGTTGTGCACATCGGTTTTTGTTTTTTTGATTTTTGCATTAAAAATGGCGCTAGAGAGAGGTCAAAATCTAGATCACGTAAAAAAGCAAAAAATTCGACACATTTTCCTTTATATCTTAAAAACAAAAAATATTTTGTTAAGACATGTAGAACAAAAGTTGTCCATAATTGCAAGGGATTTCATATAATACTATTCAAAAGGGGCTGGCCCCTTTAATTAGGGATCTAGGGCGCTTGAAAGTTTTTGATTTATAACTCAAAAACGGTAAATTTTTCGATCTGGATCATACGGTCAAATTTTTTTCTTTTACACCTTTTTGATCTGATGAAAATGTTGTTTTGTTCGATTATACAGGGGGTATTGCGTTATACGTAGTAGAAAGCAGGCCAGGTAAACAGGTAGCGTTTTCCAATCGGAAAGGAAATCAAGCCTCTTCATGTGTTTAACTTAAACAGACTTGCCATCAATTATATGCCCAAGGGTATTTAATGTTAATTTTCTTTTAAATAAGGTTTTAAACGTGCTTTATGATTCGCTATTAAATTATCTATTACAACTAGACTTTCTTTTCTTATTTTTTAGTTAGTTAAATAGTGTTCAAAAGCGGAGAATATAAAATCTTTTTATACGTTTATTATTACAACAAACTATGTACTAAGTAATTTTAAACTGTATGCATTGAATAATTGACATCATTAGCTGTATGCATATTACGATCTCTAAGTTATGCGTCAGCTCGGTGTTTTCAGTTATGTAACATAACCATGATAGTTTTCATTCATCGTCCCCGCAATTCCATTCGGAAAATTATAAATGTGAATTAAGATAAATATTATGAGACTTTTTCCCATTCAAATTCATTTCGATGAACGAACAATTTTATTTAGCAGTACAAGACTTGAGTGTTCTATATAATACCGCCATCTTAAAATGCCTTAGATTTTATTTTTAGTACAAAACTTTACTTTTCATTTTGATGATACATTGCGTAAGGACTAGCGATCTGCAGTTACTTTACTTGAACAATAATTGATTTCAAATAATAAATCCGTTTTCAATAACAAAATTTTCTCATACACATTTTTCCCTATCACAGATTATTTCCCATATGGTTATACCAACTTTAAACTTTTAAAAAGAATCTTCCGGATCATATGGATAGAATTATAGTCAATGAAATGGATTAAACTTCGATAGGTTCATGTAACTCTGGCACGTCTAAACTTCATAAGCGACTTCTGTGCTGCGCAATGCCTATTCATATTACAGGTTTGATAGTAAAGTTGAAAAAATAATTTAAGATTTTAAAGCAATGAATCAAACTTAATTTTTTTTATAATTAATTCAAAACCCGTAAATTATTTTGTTAAGTATAGCATGTATAATGTGCTAACATTTAATTTTCATTTGTTCCGTGATTAAATATTGGTAGCAGGTTATACATGTAAGAAGTAATAAACCTGCATTGTATTTCCAGAACTGAAAATTTAAGAACTTTTATTACAATCTGCAGGTACTGAATATTACAAATTTATCATTATTACATGTAATTACTACATTTTCACGACTTAATTTTAATTGTTAAAATCATAAGCGACAGCATAATCAAACCATTTGTATCCTTTACCGTATATACATCATGTACATGTAATTGAGTATTTTCTTTAAAATAATGAACTTGTATCTTACGCTCATTATTTTTCTTGGTTAAAAAATACATGAATGAGAGAGAGAGACTCGCCTTGCTCATATACATACATGTATTTTATATCATATAGTTCTTGTATCAAATATATTGTCTAATTTATTCTATTAAACGTAATCTCCATTTCCTATTTTAATTAAATTTATTTATAGATATTATTCAACTTCAAGCACAATATGTAGTACATGTACTAAAATGAAGTCCATGCACGGGTGGTGTAGTACATCCGGCATTTTCTTTAATTCTTTAATCTTTCATCCATGCGCTTCCTCCTTCTCGGAAAGAAATGTAAATAGATTGAACGGCATGTATAAACCCATATTGTTTCGGCCTAACGTGTTTTTGATCATGATAGGCAACCTTGGGGGATATAAAATGAAGATAATGTAGAAAAACGATTAGCTAAATTAGGAGGGAGTCTTTAAAAAAATATTCTCACGAACTTCTGGGCAAGAATGAGAACCCATACTTACGAAAGCTTCCTGATATACATGAAATAAAGATTACTATTTTTCAAATCATGACCTAATTAGGTATTCAAAATTTAAAATAGGAAGATGTACCACCGCAAACAAAGTAATTGTGTATTTTGGGGGTGGGGTGGGGGTGGATGTGTTAGGAATAACGTTGTCTTTTTCACTGTCCAGCTGTCCTTCTGCCTCTCAAGGTTTTCCCAGGCCAGGCTTTAAATTTATGTAGAATCTGGGAGCTCACACTACTCGATACAAAGATTTCCAATGGCTCTAGGGTGTGTCATGGCATTGGTTCAAGGCAATATTACGGCAAATTTAAGGTCACTAGAGAAAGAGTTAATGTTTTGTCCGAGCCATTTATATATGTAATCGAGAATATCTGGAAGCTCATACTTGATACAGAGATTTCTTGTGAGAAAAAGGTTTTGTATTATTTTGACTCAGAAAATAGTATAAATTCAATCTGGCCTTTGATCGACTGCTTATGGTCCTCCGTTTTCAGATGACTAAAAATAATGCCATTTTAACAAATTCAGGGTCACTGACAAAAAAAGCTGTAAAATGCCTGTCAGGTTTATGAATTTCTAATCAAAAGAATTGTTTGAGATTGCGCGTTTGTCTTGACACAGATTTAAGGTAATTCTGTATAGAGATCAGGGTCACCTACAGAAAAAAATATTTTCTTTTCCACACTACGAATTCATAAATAAAAATCATTGGAAGATCGTACTTGAAACATAGATTATTTATAATTAGAAGATGTGTCATGACCTTTATGAAGGCAAATCAAAGTCACAGATCATGACAGAGAGAAAAAATGTTTAACCATAACTTTGTAATTAAGATTCACAAGAGGCTCATCCTTAGAATAGAGGTTGTTCTTGTAAAAATGTGAAGTGACCTGTCCGCAGCTCCAACGGAAGACCTACTCGTTGCTTTGCAACGAGCTCGGCTCTAGTTATTTGTAAAATTCAAAAACTTTCAGGGGCAATAACTCATAAAAGGGCTCTATGGATCCTTTTGCAATGAATAGATTGAAAGATCCTATCAAGTAGTCAAAGACATGGTGAAGGTTTCATACCTATACGGTTTACGGTTTCGGAGGAGTAGCGATAACAAGCATTTCTTGCGTAAAGGGCGATAACTTCGAAAGGGGTCAAAGTTCAAACTTCTTGGGTCGTTTTTCGGAATAACTTTAAATATCCAATATCATGAACTATTAAATGTACCGATAAGTCTTGTGGTTTCAAAAGAACGGCAGAAAAAGAATAATAAACATAAGCATTTCAATAGATCTCTCCACAGAAAGGTGGAAAGACCTAAAAATAAAGTTTTTGAAAGACGGGGAATTAGCTTTCAGAGCGGGAATTAGCACACTTGACTTACGCACGGGGATACGTCCATTAACATATCATACCGATAAAAAAGTAAAATCAAGAGAATTACAGATAACCGGGGATGAACTTTAAAAGCAGCAATTATCTCATATGCCTAAAGCACAGGGTTTAGTCCATTCACAGTGATTCCAAAGGAATTTATCACATTTTACTACCTATAATTTTTATATAGGGAAAAAAAACAGTAAATATGTAATAGATAAAAATAAAAGGAAAAACAATTTAATATTATTTTCTTTGTTTTTATAAAGAGCAATAATCAGATGGAGATATTACATATATTCTATAATGTATTTATTTAAACACTGACAGTCATAATATTGTTTGCTTTGACAGTGTATAAAATATTATAAATTCATAAAATTGTACCTCGTAATTGTATCTGGTTATCAAACCATTTTTTCTTCCATTGCATTTTGAAGCTCCATCATTTCTGCGCCCATCAGATAACGTGCAGACTATACAATTTAAAAAAAAAATGTGTTTTGAATAGCGTTTAAGAAATATAACATCATATGATATCATAAATAATTATTTCGCATCAAATTTTTGCATATTAGTAAAAAAAAAAATTTAGCCTACTCTTTTTGACTTTCAAGCAGCGCACCTGTGCTTTAAAGAAAAAAATGTTCCAAACATCTAATTTAATGAAAACAATCAATTACTTTCGACAGTAAATAAATTCGATTAAGTTATGAAATATACTTAAAATAATAGGGATTGAAATGCTAAGTTTTAATTAAAATAAGCGTACAAACATGTATGTAGATTCTAGTCATACCATTGCTTGTTTAAATGTAGCTGTGGATGTTGAAAAATAATAACATCTTCTTTGGTAGGAGACCCACCCTTTTTCACAAGTTGCTACCGAATCTGAAAGGAAAGGGATAAAGCAAATTTGTATCGAAAATAGAAAAACTGCCATATGCCTTCATCTTCATCTTCTAAAGAAAGAATCGTTTTAACGTCCGAATTTTGACCCTCGATCACAGGTGCTTGAGGACAGGACACCCCCCCCCCATATGGCCCCCCGGGCCTGTTGGACTTTTTTTCACATAAATTGTATATGGATGATACATTTGTGATATAATCTATCCTATCAATTCAGAAAATGTGCTTAAACTTACATTTTATAAAAAAAAAAAATATCTACCCTCTCTATATATAAATTAACAAGATTGTCAACTTCGTCTGCAAACCGGAAGGCACTGGCGAGAATTTTGGTTGAATCGTCTCATAAATCTAAGCAAAGCCCTAAAATCAACAACTCATATTGTAGATTGAATATTCTTTTCATTAACCACCAGCTCTCATGAAGGTTAGGGTACTTTAAAAGTCGTTATGACCAAGTTTTCGAAAGGATGTCAGGCTACAGTCTGCGTTTTTGCTTAGTGAACGGAAGTGGCGAGGAGACGACTTTTTACCAAAATACACACTTCTGCAGAAGGTCTGAGACACTGTTTTGAAGTAAACTTTTGAAGAAATTTGGTTGATATACACTTTAATGTAATGTCTTTCAAATGTATTGGGAGAATAGAGTTCTAAACAGCTGATGTGAAATGAAATTCTCTAATTATTTTTCAAATACCTGATTTGCATGTGAGAGTTATGCCCTTTTAAAAATGCAATTTATAAAAAATATCTTCTTTTCCTTAAATATTTGTGTAAATCTACAAAACGTTTGAAAATAAAATTTAAAAAAAAAATAGAATTTGATGAAAAATTCGTTCAAAAAAAACAAGAATATATCTATTGTTGATATTTTACACGCATATTTAGGTACATGTGTAACATCGGATATTAGTCCTCTCCTCATTACTTCCGTTCAATAAGCTTTTTACGGAGTTTGCAACCTTGTTGATTTTTATATAGAGAATGTAGGGTACATATATAGATTTAATAGAACGTTTGTGTTAGGTAATTTTTCGATTTCCTGGTAAAGATCTTATCACAAATATGGCAATGAAAGATTTTTTATGAGAAAAAAAAATCGAAAAAGCCCAGGGGTCTATATCAAGGGGGGGGGGGGGGGGGGGGGGGGTTGTTCCTGTCCTCAAGCACCTGTGCCCTCGATAATTTACCAAAAAAATATAATTAAAGATTTTCTACATATTTCTGCCTCAATCTTTCCATCAAACATTGTAGTTTATTGATTTCAATTTCAATTTTTAATTCCATGCACTGTAACTAGGTGTTTATTTGATTAATATAGCAGGGGTACGTTGTTTACATCAATTTCTCATAGACTTTAGGCCACACCACCAGTTTGAACGCTAATTTTTAATATGAGCGCATGGATGTTTCAAGTTGTCGAAAATACGGTCAATGCAAAGAGATTAATAGAATCATTCATTACTACGAGTGTGGGATAGTGAAATTCCACCGAGGGGACAAGATTCACAGTCTAGGGCGAGGCTTTGCCGAGTCCTAGACCGTGAATCTTGGCCCCGAGGTGGAATTTCACTATTCCCACACGAGTATGTAATGAATGATTATTTTTCTCGCATTATTTTATCCAAAATAACGGCCTGTCAATGACGTTGCCATGATGGGGCTAAAAAAATATTTTTAATTTTCCATCTAATTAAAAATCTGTAAATTAATCAGAAAGATAAAAACTGGGAATAAAAAACTTATCTATCAGAGAGCGTAAAAGAAGAATCATTCCCCGATCTAAAAATAGTGCCATTAAAAAAGTGAAAATACGACAATATTTTGAATGAAAATAAGTTTATACTAAAAAGTTAAATGACAACAGTTTAATTATGTGTTTTTTTTACATTGTTACAATTTCTTTATATAATGACGGAATGTTTACGTTCTCGTTCGTGGCGTATTAATACACAGTGTAAGACAGAAAAATCTCACACTGTTGTCTCACACCGGACAAGTCAATCTTACACTGGTGATTATGCGAGAAAAACTAGTCATTCACATTCGTGATCGAAATTGAAACAGTCTTGCGCTTATATAGTATTTTCCGAAAAGGTGCAAATTCACGGATACTTGTCTCTATAGTAAAGAAACCTTGTTTACAAATTTCAACCTGCCTTTGACCTCATGAATAACAAAGCACAGAACACTTAACTTAAATTTATTCACTTTCGCGCTTTTATCACCCATGTTATATCGTGTACATGTGTCAGCGAGATATCAATGGTCATTTATTTTCTGGGTGAAATCCTTAATTAGGATACATGTATATGTTAAGATTTTTGAATTGTTATTAAAGGTCATTTCCGTCGATTTTGTTTGATTTATTTCGGTATCTATCAGTATATGCCTTTGTCTCGAAATATACATCGGCGCAATGTTTATTGACTCTTGAAAGATAGAAAAAATGTTTTTTTTTATTTTAGTTAGAACTTTCATAAATTTCATAGATCGTCATTTGAAAAACACTAATTGATCATATCTTTAGAAAATAGCCTGTTTGTTACAAGTGCACAAATGCATACTTCAAGTTGAAAAACATGAAGGGGGAGAAATTGAAATACAGAGCGCTAAAAGACCTACATATAACGGATAAAAAATAACTGGATGACAACATTTACAAAAAATGTACATATAAATTGAATAGATGGAAGCTTCGGGCTTCTTCGTACGACTCTGCAAATGCTAAATCTTTTTACATCGACCCAAAAACTTTTTTTTTCAGATCATTTAAAAAATTCAATGTTCGCAGGTACATGTATTTTTAAAGCATTATGTTTAAAAGCAAGAAAATGCACTTAGAGAGAGAGAGAGAGAGAGAGAGAGAGAGAGAGAGAGAGAGAGAGAGAGAGAGAGAGAGAGAGAGAGAGAGAGAGAGAGAGTTAGTACACGAGTGAATTTCAACAATTATTGAATTCATATATAAAGAAGATAATATTAACTTGTCTGGCAAAAATAAACAGGATTTAGTTCAAAGCAATATTAATGTTATCTCGACTGCACAAAATACACTGACACTGATGTTTCATTTTTCACAAGCGATGATACTGACGTTTTTAATTTTCACTTTCTTAACGATTTATTTTTTGTACACAAAGTTAAGTTTTTTAATCATAATCCAACCGCCTACATATTTTTTTTTTTTTTTTTGTAGCCCTAGAATTTTTAAAATTATATATTTGCTATAAAATAAATTCTTATTATACATGTAAAAGTAATAACCTTAAACAGATTAATTGTCTTTTAAAAATAAGGTTTCTTTCGCGTATGAAAAATAGTGTATCCTGTAATATACGCTCTGTTTACAGATTTAATAAGTCATTCCAAATATAACTCGTAAGTTTAATAGAAAAAAAAACTGCCATATAATTTAATTAAGAATCTATGCTTATATTTTGTCGGTCTCTAATAAGAAATAAGAGGGGGCTTATGTGTCAGTTATTCATAAAACTTAGTACATCTCGAACACACGCTGATGTATTCACACTAATCGCATGCTTGAAAGACGCTCTGCCTTCTCATTCGAATAATAGAGAAGGACCTACAAGTTCAAGTTCAAGTTCAAGTTCAATTTATTCACTCAGACCATATCAATGGTACATGAGGTTCAACAATATGTACAATATATACAAAGAATAATATACAAGATACACGTGAAATGGCGGAAATATTCATATAAAGTAACAAAGATAACTATGGAGGACAGACTTTTTCATATACTCTATTTATGTAACAACATAGTTTAATCAATAATTTGGAGTCAGCAGATCACAACAATTCTGATAATTTGAAAAAATTTGGTCTATTACAATATTTACTGGGAAGATATTTTTTTCTACATTCGGAAAAATATTTGCATTCTAAAATTTAGTGATACTCATCAGCTATTTGTCCATTATTACAAAGATTACATTGTCTATCATTTTTGGGAATCCCAAACCATCTCCCAGTCTCAACTGGAAGACGATGATTTGTTGTTCTTAGTTTAATTAATATTGTTCTAAATTTTTTTGGTAGTAAGGCTAAATATTTTTCAAATCCAAATTCTGTTTTGAAGATACTATAAAAGAGACCTTTAGATGAATCGCGCATATTACTTTGCCACTTCTGTATGTACTGATCTTTAAGACGTTGATCAACTATAGCCTTTAGCCATTTAATATTTATAAAGGTCTGTTCATTCCACACATTTGAGAAGCCACAACTATCAAGTATATTCTTAATACATAAAATCCAAGGGTTCTTATGACTTCCTGTACTGAACTGTTCAAATAAATGTCTATATGTGACATAAACAATCTTATTTTCAGGGCTCACCAATAATTTTGCCCAATAGGATATCATTCTCGAATACACTGTTATATACAAAGGAAAGCGGCCTGTTTCGCCATAAACCATATAACTAGGAGTACTACTTTTTAGATTAAAAATATGTTTCAAAAATTAAAGATGAACACGTTCAATTATATCAATGTTCTCAAAACCCCATATCTCACATCCATACAAAAGTACTGGAGTGACAACTTTATCGAACAAATCAAGCTGGCAATCTACTGGTAAATTAAATTGTCGAATTTTTCGTATAATTCCATACATGGCTTTTTGAGCTTGCTCACATAAATGTTTTTTTAGTTTTACAGAATGAACCTGATCGAGAAAACAGTATACCTAGGTATTTAAATTCGTTCACAATTTCAATAACAGAATTATTGTAGTAAAATACATTTTTAACAGATGGACCTTTCGAAAAAATCATAATTTTTGTTTTGTCTACATTGACAGTCAGTTTCCATTGTACACAATATGAATGAAACTCATTTAGAGCATGTTGTAAACCCTCTGCAGACTCAGACATTATAACTGTATCGTCAGCATAGAACAAAATAAATAATTTAAAATACATCAAAATTTCATTTTCTACAGAGTTTGAACTGCTTGCATTATTAAAAGATAGCCCATGTACATCTTTGCTGGCCAGAAACTCTTCTAGATCATTAATATACATAGAAAACAGGAGAGGTGATAAATTTTCTCCTTGGCGGACACCAATGTTACAATTGTAAAATTCAGATGAAAGACCATTCATAGTCACAAGAGACTTGACTCCATTATACATATTTTTTATAAAAGTAAAACATTTTCCGGTAATGCCATTATTCAACAGTTTGTACCAAAGCCCATTTCTCCACACTGTGTCGAATGCCTGTTTGAAGTCAATAAAAGCACAAAAAAGTTTCTTTTTGAGAGACATCACCATGTTTGTAAGAAAATGTAAACTAAGTATATTATCCAAGGTAGAATAACCTTTCCGAAAGCCAGTTTGGCTTTCGCTTATAAGATTTAAGCTCTCTACATAACATTCCAAGCGTTTACATAAAATGGAGGTAAAAAGCTTACCAAGGCAACTTAAAAGTGTTATTGGACGATAATTTTCTGGATTTGTTGGGTCACCTTTATTTTTAAAAATCGGTTTGACAATACCCGTGAGCCATTCGTCTGGAATTATTCCACTATCAAAAATCAAGTTAAACATTTTTTTATATACAGGCAAAAAAAGTAGCTATTGTTGATGAAATATGTTCGTTTAACAAGTGGTCATAGCCTGCGGCCTTATTATTTTTCAATTTTTTAACTGCACATAAAATTTCTTCCTCACTAATCTCAAAATTCAAAAAATCATCACATACACGGCTATCTGTTGGAAAACTTAGAGTATCAACATCTTCTATGTCATTGTCATGACCTTCATTGATGCCCTTCAGAAAATCAAACATAGCATTAATATCTACAGCACATTTATTTAACGCATTAGGACCATTTAAAAATTTTCCAGTATTCTCTAGTATTTGTTGATCGTAATGATTTCAAGTTTTTTGTTATGCCTTTCCTATAATCTTTTATACATGAATCCATAATCTTTTTATAGTTTTTGCTTTCTAATTGAAGATTAGCTTTTTTTCTAAACAAGGATTTTTACTATTTAATCGCTTTGCCAAATGATATTTCTTTCTCGCGGTCTTACACTCTTTATTGAACCAGGGTTTATTGCGTTTGTTTTCACAATTATCTTTCTTAAAATTACGACTAACCCCAAATGTTGATTTAGCTGTGTTTAAAAATATACCACATAACTTATTAGTAACATCGTTTAAAGTGTCTTTACTAATGTTACTTGTTTCTGTACTACTAGTCAAAATATCTAACTCATTCTCTATGTCCTTGACCTTAGATATATCCATATTCCCTGGGAAATGTTTTGCTTGGTCTTGTGACCATAGTTTTACACGTGACTGATTTTCAACAATGTCTTCACACCTGTGTTCTGTGGAAAGCGCTGGTAAAATAGAAAATGAAACTGGATTGTGCACGTCCGAATACAAGTTACAGAAGTCAGAGATATCAAAATCTTTAATAAATTTAAACATAGGTGCTGTGGCAACCACATAATCCACTGTGCTACTACCCTTACAAGTTAAACCTCCCACGTATTTATCACTGCCAGCACGGCCATTTACAATATAAATGTCATTGTTTTTACAAAAATCAATCATTTTGTATCCAAAGTTATTAACATGGACATCTTGTACTACCCTACGGAGAGGAATCTTAAAGTTATCAAAAATAATGGTTCTAGTCTCTATGGCTGTCTTAAAAAATTCCTCACATTTTTGTAATTGTAACTGAAAATCATCAGCTTCAAACCAGTCATTCAAATTGCCAACTCTTGAGTTAAAATCACCCATTAAACACATATATTTGCTATCTTTAGATATAGAAATAAGTTCACTCTCAATGTCTAAAAAACAATCTGTAGAAGCATATTTACTGCCTTCCGGGGGCAGGTACACGACACCAAATATTACATCTTCATCAGTATTAAAAATACATTTGCTTATCTTAAACCAAAGAACATATTTACAAGTAGTGTTCAATATTTTCACATATTTAACCGAACTATCTCTTACAGCTAAAATAATTCCTCCTGACCGAGTTTTTGACAATTTTTGTCTATTTTTCATAAATAATGTAAAACCTGGAATGTGAATTAAATCAGCGTCATCAGTTTTTGTTTCAGTAAAGCCGATAATATCAAAATTGGAGATGTGATCTAAAAATTCACTGTAATTGAGTTTATTTTTGATTCCACAAACATTTAAACTTAGAAGTTTGATAGAGTTGTTTGCTGACTTCTGACCCTCCGCGCTCTCCTATTTCGTCGGTGTCGAAGATTTCCTAAAGCGTTTGTTTCCTCGTGGGGGTGGTGTAGGATTGTCATTATTGGCAGGCTCGCGGCGCGCTCCGGACGTCCACGGTGTGTTGCTGGAACTCTGGGACATCCTTTGAGTGGGGTAGTTCAGGGAGTTGACGTGTTCCTCTGTATCACTTGGTTCATACATCTCACCATCAATGTACAATTTGTCCACAACAAGTTTCACACGTTTATTGTTTTTCATCGCCTTGCGCATAACTGGATACAACTTGCGCCGTTTCTCCTCTACCTCCGGTGGAAATTGTTCATTCACCCAAATGTTAGATCCCTTAAGTTTGAGAGGGGCACGTTTGCGAACAAATTCACGATCTTTATAAAAGCTAAACTTTGCCACAATGTTCCTTGGCTTGGTTCTGTACTCATCGGGTTTTCCTAAACGATGCACTCTCTCTAAGGGAATTTCATCATGGATTTTTAGCTTGGTTTTCAGGAAATCTCGCAGAACTTCTTCACAGTTTTCATCTCTGTTTTCAGGTATGCCGGTGAATACTAAATTATCCCTCATTGACCTGCTTTTTAGATCGATCACTGATTTATGTAATTCACGCTGACCGTTGGTTAAGTCTGTAATATCATCAGATAATTTCTTGTCTAAATTGGCTGTATCAATTCGAATAGCTTTCAGGTCTTGATCTGCATGTGATTTAACATTCTCAAACATATCACTCATAGACTGAGCACTTGCTTCAATGGACGACACGGTCTGTTTCACATTCTTGACCTCACTCTCAAATTTGTTTACCCTATCATTTAGTGTAGATATGGAGTCGGTTATTGACTGGAAATGTGTCATTTTATTTTCAATCTCACTCAGCCTTTTGTCAAGTGTTGTGTTATTGCTCTCAATGACTGCAAGTCTTGAATTTATTTGCAAAAGAAGTTCATAGATGTAATGGCTGAGCCGGGTTTTTACAGTGAAGTATACGATTTTATGTAATCAATATCATGTATATATTGAAAGTTTCTTTCACAAAAATTCTCTTATGAGTATCTATACAGATTATTTTTGAGGACTTTAGCTATAATATGACAATGTTATGGCTTGAAAAGCTAAAATTCTGTGTTCGAAAAGAAGCGAGAAAGCAGAGTTATGAAGATTCATTCTTTCTTTTTAATTTTTGTCCTTAGCATTCATACATGTAGGTGATTACAGCTATTCTAATACAGAATGAATTACATTTGTTATGTAAACATAGACCTCTAAGATATCAGAGGTGGGATCAGGTCCCATTGAGGCCGACCGGTCACACCGACAATGTGCTCCTTGTCATGAATTGGAAATAACAGAAAAATTCTTTGACAATTCAATGTGTAAATAATGACCTAAAACTAAATTTGGTAGTGATTTAAAGATATCGTTTGCATATATTAGCTGGACACTTGTAGTGCACACATTATTGTTTAAAATTTTCAATTTTTATTTTTCTGTTAATTTGTCATTACAATTATCACAGCATTTACATACCTGCATGAATTTTACCAACGACGAAACTGTAAACAATCAGAAAAAGGAGATGTTCGAACTTGAAATGCATTTTCAACAAAATTGAAAAGCTTTTGCGTTGTGATAAAAATATTCCAAAATTGCTTGTATTTATAGTCTACAGAAATCAATTACATTCCGAATTGACTAGTTAATAAAATTATTTACAATTGAACATTTTCGCCATATGTTTTTTCACCATAATATAACTTTTATGTCTTATTGACAATCAATTTCAGAATTTGAGCATTTATTTGTTAGAACTATTCTTGCATAACCTTAAAAAAGTCTATACACCCAACATTAGTCGATACTTGCGTTTAAATTCATTTCTAACCATAGACACATATTTTATAATTGATTTAAAAATAAATCAAGCCAAGTGCTTAATTCATGGGAAATATTGTGAGATAGATTCCTTTGTTTTTAACATGTATTACATGTAAAAAGAGCATTTTGAATATTCCGCAAATCGAGTAAATCGAACTCAGACATTACGCTTGAATAACGCTTACTTTAGTTTGACATCAATGCATACAGATTGCCAAACGTTGAATTTCAGCATTAAGAAATTTGTGGTTAAGAAACTTTTATCATTTATTTCGAAAAACTACGAACACTAAATAAAGCAACATTTATAATCTGCGAGATGAAATTAATACCAGAAAAAAAATTACGTATAAAAAGCAATATTAGCGCTTGTGCAATGGTGCTTAATGATGACGTGCAGAGAGTTTAAAGTATATCTTAATGTTGACTTAGATACTATATGGAAGCCATCTATAGGTGCTTTGTACTGACTTAGAGATGACCTTAAAGCTATTATTTAGCAACTAATAACTGAATTTATGATATGTCTTCTAATAATAGGCAAGCTCGCCGCAGCAGCTTGTATTTGATATAGGATGAGTGGACTATGAGAGTTGGGTCCTGGTGTTTAAAATTTCAACATTCATTTGATTTATATTTCATAGGTATTAAACAATGTCTAAAGAGCAGGTTTTGGTATATTATATTACACAAAAGTATCAAATTATTCCGATTGACAGTAGCTTTAAGACTTGGGTCTATTGTTTTTCATATGCATACGAGTGTCAACGATTGATAAGACATGTATAATCACTTTACTCATTTACATTCAACTATTCCAATCATGCAATTTAAATGTCTCCCCCTATTTTCGGATACCTTAAATTCGAAAGTGATCCAGTGCAAATTTTAAGGCTCATATATATAGTTTCAATTACCTTTTCTGTCATAATAAAAATATGTTTAACAAAAGAATCAAGGCGTAATTATCTTGCATAATAATAATAGATTAATATGTATGTACATGTATTGTAATGTTAAGCTTAAAATGGATAGCCAAAAAGGTTCCAAATGTCGTAATAAAGTGAATAATTCTTTGTTGAAAACAGATAAAACACATTCAAAGAAAAGAAGACAAGCTCTGATTGAAGGATACTTAAAATATGAAAAATATTTACTGAAAGGAAAAAGAAACGCAGGGTAGCATAATTGTCGATAAAAATTTGACCACATGACAGAAAGTTACGAAAATTGGTCGGATGGGAAATTTAGTTACTGTGCATCAAAATCAGTATTCAGAATTACTCAACCGTAAAATTTATGACGTCACGTATGGAAAACGCTTAAAAGGCCAAAACACGTGCAATTTGATAACGACGTGTTTGTCCACAAATCTTGTTGCATTATTTGATGCATATGAGGTATGCACATCGTTTTTCAATATTAAGAGACATTATGAATTTATTGCAATCTTGGCACAGTTTACGGAAGTTCAATGCGGTCTTGTTTTCAAATTGCCTAAATAATGAAAAAGGCAACTACGGTTTACTTAGCAGTCTCTTGTAAATTTTCCCCCATAAAACTTTTTAGCCGTTGTCAGAGAGGGTCTGGAGTGGATTTCAATCAACCGTGACGATGACGTTAACGCGAAACAGAGCCATGTTACGAGCGGGTTATTCGTCCTGCTAGCTCTTAAATCGCCACCTTACTACCACATAAACAGCCATTTATAGTGTACACGATTATAATCATTACATTCATACGAAATTTGAAAGAAAACAATTCCGCAATTTGGTTTTTTGAGTCCGTCAACTTACTGTTGTATTCCTCTCACTTGCACATGCGCGCGCCGTTTGACTAATTTTTTTGCGTGGTTACCCATGCTAAATATAGCCAGGGTTTGAAAGATAAACACTCTAATGAAATTCCATGCAAAGGAGAAATAAGACTCTGACAGATGCACGAGATGGACATTGAAGATAATGAAAGTTTTCGATTTTCCCTTTTGGGGGGTATCGTCATTTGAGCTTCAATTACTCATGAATAATTACACAAAATCATATGAGAATTTGGTTATATATTTTTGAAAGAAGATTTTAAAAGGTAGATAGGAAAACTAAAAAGTCTTTTAAGAAAAACAAATTTAATGCACCTCAAAATTTACCCTGTGTTTCTTTTTCCTTTCAGTATATATAAAAAATACAAAAAGAACAAGAAAAACAAAACATCTTAAGATAATCATTAGCAAAGAGATAGCACATTTAAAAAAAATGGGCCAAGTCAAGTTTTACAGAAGTATTTCGTCTTGTGTTATCAGATAAAGAAAATAATTATAGTTCTTTGGGAGGGATTGATAAAAAAACAATATAAAATGTTCATTTCAATACTATTTGTTTATTAAAGTATGCTCAATTCTACATAAACAAGCACACCAGCAGCTGATGATGAGTACATTGATTATAGTATATTTGGAGATCCATTTTATTATTTATTTTACAGATATTAACACATCCTCATTAAGATACGAAGGTAACACGTCGAGACCATAAGGAAGTCGATTTTATTTTTCCAATTACTTTAGATGATGTTATTGAATAATATTCAGGTACAAAATAAACAGTTAAAACTATTAGGCAATTGATTTCATTTTGATGTCATAGAAATAAAATATTTCAAAAGAATGTGAAGTACTGTTGCAATTTCATTTATTGAACTTATAGCGTGTGTGTCATAGATCAAACGCTGCTGACACAATAGAATGAGATAATTTCATTCGTTTGAATTTGTTACCTGTAGCATACAGTGACGTACATGTGTAGCATCATTTTTGCGAGTGGAGTGGGGACAGCTAGAAAAAATACACGCAAAATCATGAAAGTAAAAAGGGAAGAAAAAAAAATGTCCAATTTCGAACCTTGTCAAAACTAAGAAAAATCTTTTTTCGGGAAAGGGGGTATACTCTAACAGCAAATTCCCCTCCCCTCCGATGCTACGCGCCTGGCATATACCAGTGTAGATGAAATAGATACTTTTCTTGAATATTAATTATATATTTATTTGTAAATGTTTTCAATGAAATACAAGATATGTAATTAAAATTAATTCCATTTTTAGTTTTGTTTCCTGGTAATTTTAAGAGCGTTATTTTCAAGAGTTGTTCTGAATGCAGATTCAAAGTAATGCATTTCATAGATTGTAAAACCACCTTAGAGATAACGAGATATTTTGACAATCAGGTAGTTCAATTGACATTGTCTAATTGAAAAATCAAACGCACAGAATCATGACTGCAGAGATCATCAATATCAAATCGAGGATAGTTATACAGAAGATGAAGAACTGAGAGAAAAAAAATCTTATTTCAATACTCCATGCAGGATTTATATTTGACATGATATGCTTCAAGTACAGCTAAACAAATCATAGACTTATTACTTAAAGTTAAATCTCATATTAAATATATTATAGATAAGTCTGATGGATTAGTTTGATTTTTAATGTCTTATGAATTTAAAGTTTGTTTACACAGATTCAATTTTCAGTGAGTGCCTTTGAAAAGGAATGGGAACGTATCTTATCATAAAAATTGTTACTATTGCTTTGTAGATTTTCTTACGAAATTTTAATCTCGTGCTTTTTTGTTGAATAAAAAAAGAAAAACATAATGAGAAAAGATATGCTCATATTCTGTATATGCTTAACTAAAAACAAGAAAATCGATGATCAAAATGTAATAACACAATCCTGCATCTATTAGGAAAACTTATATTTGTAATCAGTTGATCCAAATGCCGATAAGTATTTATGTTAGTCAAATTCTCTTGAAGTGGACTGGATTATAAGGGAACCAAACAATCAAGCAGGGGATAACAACTGTACGCTGAGCTAGGTTAGTCGTAAAGGCTGGAACTACACTTTTGAATTTTGAAAACAAATTACGTTTGCAAGAAATTAAAGTTTTAAAATATAAATTTGTTACTGTGCCTCTTCTTTTTTCAAAAAAAGTTTTTGGTCAGTTTTTAATGCATCTTTATATGATATGAAATCTGTTTTAGCATGTAATTCTTTTTTTTCACAAATAATAATATCCAATGTTTCAACTCATTTCCGCGAGATTGTATGCGAGACAGAATTCTGAATAATTTTTATTTATTGTAATATGATATGAACTACATATAATTTTTTTAACAAGAGACTCAGGAGCCACATTGCTCACTTGAGCAACTGGATAGGTAAAGGCCAAAATTAGTTCAGTATTGAAAAGTTTAAATATATCATTAAAATGGTTTCTTGGGAGGGGAGGCTGTATTTAAACAAACTTTAAATTACACTTCCTTTGAATGATTTTTTGTCACATTATTGTTTTGTTTTTTATAAAATTGTTTTTTTTTTCTTGATATAGCCTGTGTATTCATTTGTTTACTTTAGGACTCCTCTATTCTCCTGATTTTCACATCTACATTACATTTTTATGCTTGTCCTTTTTTTTTTTTTTGATGAGCAATTACCATGATGGCTTTGTGAAAAATTTTAACAATTTTTACCATACATTCCTATGTAATAACTTGATAACCTATTGCGGCTAAACCCTTGCCTAAGGGGTCTTGATTTGAATTAAATTAAATTTTCCCTTTCAGAAGATGCTTCTGCACAAGTTTCATCTTTCTTGGCCCAGTGAATCTTGAGAAGCAGATTTGATAAGATTTTTTTATGTATTCTTATGCTGAACTTTGAAACCCATTGTGGCCCCCACCCTACTCGGGAGGGTCTATGATT